TTCATTTCAAAGGAACCACAACAGATAAGAATCTCTAGTGCTCTTACAAAACCCTACCGCTAACCTCAATGGAGTGACAGAACCAAAAATGCCATTTGGACCACCATCAGTAGTTTGGAAATAGCCGAATTCAGTGCATGTTTGCCATGTCCAACTACGAGCTCCAGCTAAAATCGTGATCAATAAATTCTCAGGCAAGATCACCTTTTGAAATTTGCAAGGCGTTTGTTGTTGGTCTGAGACGCGTGCGGTTGCGATGCGATGCGCGCGTTCGGGCCTCATGTACGACACCCCATGTCTTCTGTCCGATACATGAGAGATTTAAGATGAAGGTGTAGCCATGCGACGAAAGGTACGAGTGGTGTACATCTTCACCCGGGTAGCAACTCCGCGGGTTGAAACCCTTGTGCAAGTAATTGACACGATTAGTAACAGCAACGGTCCCACGTCAGAGTACTGCTTTGAAGCGGTTGCAATCCTGTTCGCTGCGAGCGCTGGGGCGTTGCAGAAGGGCTGGGTTTAGCGCGGCACCAGTCCTCGTCCTCCAACAATTGTGGAAACTGGCAGGCGACACGGTTGGTGGAAAACTAGCTGGCGTCATCCCAAACCCACCCCCTCCCCTTGAAACGCCCCAGCGTCCGCAGTAAACAAGGCTGTAACTATCGCATCATTGCTTGCGTAGGGAAGATGTCTCTGCTGGTAGTGCCGTCCAGGGGTACGCGCAAAGAGGGGGCTAAACTGTTTCATCAAACCCCACCCAGATTGAAAGCCTACTTTGCTCGTAGTTGTTATTCCAGAATAATTATTGGATCTACCAAAAAATCATTCGCGTTTTGTACGGCTGCCGAGGTCAGGGGTGAACAGGTGAAGCGAACGCGCCGCGACCGCACGCGTGACAGGCCTACAAAACTCTATAGGGGATATTTGATAAAGTTCGAACTCACAATCGAAGAATGCATCACTGCCAAACTGCGTGACACGAAGGTAATCTATCATATCGTCGTAGCTATTCGCAGTTGACACAAATCCTCCATACATACCTGAATGAAACGGACAGCTGAGTTGCCGTATATCTTCTCTGTCTTCTCTTTCCTGGTTTCTTTCTTGAGCTTAAGTCACTCGAGAATAAGGACAATGATGTTAGAGTTGTCTATAAACCCTTTTCTAACTCTGAGAGCTGTTGCGAGGGTTTTTTCTTTACCTGGTCGCGATATAGGCATTAAAACCCTGTTGCAAATTAGTCAACGGATCAGCTTACGGTTGTTGTTCATGGATCTGGCACGACATTTGGGCGAATAGCGAAGCAGACGCGGGTAAGGCGCGCCGTATAAGCCTAAGCAATTATTTGGGTGTAGAACAACTTGACCAACGATCCAAGTACGAATGCAACACTGACCGCATTGTCTCCGCTGTACTGGACTGCCCCTTGAAAGTTACCGTATATAGTCGAGTAGAAGTTCTGTATATCGTTGTACGTCAATGAAAGGTTTGTCGTGAAACGGTGGGCATCGGAGTCTAAAAAATAAGAATAACTTCGATTACGTCCGAACTTCGCGGCCCAGCACCACCCTCTAGACAAACGCAAGCAAGGCGTGGTTCCTCGCTAGTGCTCGGCCGCGTCGCCATCAGCGTTGGGAAAGCGATGAACGGTGCTTTTGAAGGGATGAACTTGGCATCAAGTAAACATGTCATTGCGAGGCCGATGCAACGCGACGGGCGGGTATCTTGTATGAAATGTCAACGATTATACAGCACAAGGTTAAGAGAGAATCAGTAATATGCTCTCCTACACTAAGAAAGTTCGCGACAACTGCCTTCGCCGCGCCGAGTTCAGTAATTGCGATCTTCATCTGTCGATCATCTGGCCTTGCGTGAAGTCCCAAACGTACATTTTCGAGCACATTCATTGCTATTAATGATACGCAACTTATCGTGAGTGTCGTCTCAACCACCCTGCAGATAATCCTTTGAGGGAATGACGTGCGTCTTCTCGTTTTCAGTCATGTGAACGAGCCAACTCACGCGATTAGGCTGCGTTTGATACTTTGGCAGCGTAGCGTGAGGCGTTTCCAAGCGTACGCCAGCGGCGTACGTGCTCGTGTGATGAGTTACTGCGATATCGATCTAGCGTCCTAGCGTCACCAACGTTTCACCAGCGTTTTGCTGTTGTGATTTGCAGCGGCAGGGGAGTAGAGACTATGTGGCCGTCAGAGACGCGCAATCGATGTGTTTTGTACCCTCCAGCTCTCCCATAGTCTCTACTCCCCTGCCGCTGCAAACGCTAGCAAAACGCTGGTGAAACGCTGGAGAAACGCTGGCGTACGCTAGCGTTACGCTGGTGACGCTGGGAACGCTAGATCGATATGCATCCTCTCCCCGGCACTGCCGCTGGCGTACGCTGGAAGCGCTACGCTACGCTGCCGCAAAGTATAAACGCAGCCTTAGATGGTATCTGACGCGTGCGGCGGAATATCGAATAGTATGAGTATTATTGAAGTTAGTGATGACACTGCTCTTACCCTTACCATTCTGTTAACAGACAGATGTTGGAAACGTAAGCTGCGGCAAAAGCAAAGCCACTCATTGGGCACCGAGAGCTGATTATTACGTTGGTCCTTGGTGGGGCGCATCGCACGCGTTTGAGGAAGCCATTCTCTACGTACTCTTTGTGGGGCGCTACGAAACAAACATCGTTGTGCGTGTACTGAGATGTTTTTTTCAGCTTTTCCGAGGTGCTGGGGAGGGGGGGGGCAGTTGGAATTTTCGCTAGTTCACCTTGCTTGTCATGTTCATGTTAGCTGACAGGTCTTGGCAGAGACCTGTAAGCTCTTGTGACAGTAAACGGTACAAATATGCCACTTTAGTGACAGGAATTCACGGATCTTTGCAAGATGGCCTGTTTCTACTTCGATGGATACCATTTGATGCCTCAATCAAGCCAAACTATTCCCCGATCTGTTCTATTTTGTTCTGCTTACTCGGAATTCCGTGCTAGATGTGGTGCAGCGGCAAGTGATGCCGGTTAAAACGCCTAGAACCCGGTGGTCAAATCCCGCACAGAGCCCTTTCCAAGCCAGCCAGATCTTCCTGTCCGGATTCGTACCCTTATGGTTAGGGCTGAATTCCGCTGAGAGGGCGAAAGCATGGACTGCGATGCCGAGTCCAGGAGAATTGCACGGCGCACCCGAAAAATTCCAAATTTTTGGAATCAAGAAATGCTCACTCCAAAAATCAACTTCAGCCTCAACTGGAGCTGAACTGCCGACGGCTCCAGCAATAAGTTCTGGGTGCTGCTGACGAGCCCAGAGCGATAGAGCACCTGAAAACAGTTTTTTTTATGTTCTTGCCTCGTTATTTCTCCTGGTCTTCCTCTCCTTCCGAAATTTCCGAATGGTCGAAAGTCACAAACCTGAATAAGATCCTCCAAATGTAACCCACGATGCATTGCCGAGGTTATACTTCTGATTCATTGCTTGAATGAAATAGGCAATGTCTTCGATCGCTTGACGACTACTCAAGAATCGAAGATTGTCCACCGACTGGTCTCTGAAAGTTTGACCTCAGTAGTCACAATGGCACTCGGTCATGTGGCAGCAGGGTACAGCATCAGAATGAACCCCCTCCCCTTTCTTTTCTTTTCCACTACTCCCCTCTTCCGACCTACCTACCACCTTACCAGAATTTTTAATCCTGCACTAAATTTCCTGGAACTGCCAGTACCCTTCCTGCCACGCCAAGTATTTTTCTCTTGCAAAGAAAAATATTTCTTCCTAGTTGGGGCTGCGGGTGGGGTGGTAAGAAGAGTCTATCACAGTGCCTATCACAAATAGTGATGTCCATGCAACTAGTTTATGCAGCTGAGGTTGAGTCGCGGTATCGGTGCTTCATGTGGGGCGTTCGATGGCGACTCAGGTAGCATTTACGATCCCGGCCAGTTTGTCCCCCCAGTTGTTGCCAATGTGGGGTAGGCAGCCGTTGAAACAAGCTGCGGCGCGCCAAAATGTAAGTACGTGGCGACATTTCCATCTGCGGCTCCGATAATCAATTTAGTCAGCGCGAAAAATATCGGAAAAATTCCCCTTGCTTTACGGAAAAATTAATCTCTAAGCCAGACACGACCCCTTCCCCTCCCTTCCCCTCCCTCCCTATGGAATTCCTCCAACGATGCTGTATCCTCCGCTGCAGGTGTGATCGTTATTGCTCTGATGGATTAAAAACAATCAAAAAATTTTGTACTGACGCAGTCGGAAGACTTTTACCGTAGAAACGATGCTCGAGATCGAACAGCACGGCTCCTTTCTCTTTGGCCCATTGAACAAATGGGTAGGCTTCATTTTGAACCTGGAACAGTATATAGGAGTTCTCTGTGTGAAAAGTTTGCATAGTTGTAGGGGACAGAACGTTAACCGACTAGCTGTAATGCTTTACAGACAGAACTGTCTGGCTGTGCCATGCTTTATGCCTAAACTAAAATTTTTAACTTACCCAGCCAATGCTTTCTTCACCCTCTCCTCCAATCATCAGAAAAACGACATTTGAGTCGCCTGTTCGTTGATAGCGAAAGTTGGAAAAATAGCGCTGAATCAGATGATCACTACACACTCCTGGAGCAGAAACATCATTGAAATTTCGTTAACCCTTTATCTTACAACTAGGCAAAAGTGGTAGAGGAAGACAAGGGCTCAACAAATAGCGCTGCTGGGCCAAGCGCTAACAAGAACTGTGGGCTTCTCACCTGGCTCCAAGTAGCCGTCGAGGTTTTGTTGAAGTGATCGAGTTTCTGGATAAAGTAGCCTTCACTAGCGCCGAAACCACCTTGTGCTGCAGCAACCTGAAAGGATTATTACTTGAACTGTTCTGCAGTGTTCCCTGAAACCATTGTTCAACGCTTACCATGTCTTGCTCAAGTTTGTGATGGATTTTCATGCCGAACATTGGCCGTCCCAGATGGAAATTTGGTGTCCATGAGGCGATCTGCCATGTCTGGAAAATATGGCTTTGTTGCTGCATCAACCAGGATTTCTCAGTACTTGTAGGAGGATTTTTTCCACATTCTTCGATTTGAGTGCGCCTTTAGTTTCCATGACTTCTTTGGACGTTATCTGTGGACTGACGGATACCTTTTCAAAAACCTTATAGCGCTCGTCACATTAAACGGGGGCAGTTCGGTGACGGGGAGGAGGGGGGGTATTTTCACTTTCTTCCATCGACGTGTCGATTCAACGAAAGGGGCCATTTCGTGAGCTGCAAGAGTTAACACGTTTCACCATGTTGGCTGGACGAGCTTACGCTATTCTACTCTATCTTTACAAGAGTTCACAGTTTCTGCCTAGAGTGATATTTGTAAACTGAACTATTGAATAGGGAACAGTCGAACCCACCCCCCCCCCTCGTTGTCTGAACGCGCCCATCAAGGCGTCGTCAGCAGTGTTAAGGCTTATAGTTAGGAACGCAATGAAGCTGAGAGGGTAAGAGGCCGCCCTTGTGGCGTAACTGATAGCGTGCGCATGAAAGCCTGAATTGAGGGTAAGGGTCCTGCCTGGAGTCAAGACTTTACACCCGAGCATTTCTGTGAAAATTTTCAGATACCTTTTTCTTCTGTTCTACGAAACTTTATGGACTCGTTGGGTGCCGGTCCGGTTGTATATGGGAACTGACTGGCGAACAAACATGTCAAAGCAGCGTTTGACCTTCCGTCCAACGGGCCCGACCGTTGTCCACCCCGGACAACTCCTGCCACTTTGAGAACGAAGAGTAAGATTGGTGAGTTCCCTCAAAGAAACTATAGCGGAGAGGAAAATTGCTCTTTAGGCTAGACTCCCGTTGCTTCAACACACGACCCGCTTAAATGTCGAACCAACGCCGACTTTACCTAAACGATTAGCTCATGATCTCTGGTTTGCAGGAAATTAAACTGCTGACAGAGCTGCTAGGAAATTGGTGTAAATTACACACAATGGTAAATTTCTGCTCTATCTCCGTCCTCTCCACTGATCGTCCTCGTCTTATTGGCAAATGTGACCTCCTCACTACGAGTTCAAACGACGAGACACTCCGTCTACGGCATCCCTGTTCCTGCTATGGGATTTCCGGATCCTTCATAAAGGCTGCGAAGTTTTCGTACACCGCCTATCCCATAACTCGTGATAGTCCTACCCGGCATCCTTTGGCTCAATTCCTGCCTAAATTCGATACTTACCTGCAGTAATAGCAGCACGAGAACCAACAGATTCGTCATGCAGCCTAACCTAAAAAACTTCTGTAGAAGAATACAAACGGTGAGGCATTTAGTCACATGTGTTTTTATTTCAGTGAAAAGACCTCATTCAGAGTGCAAGTAAATGACTTGTGACCTGATGACGCCCTCGGATGGAATTTGACTTATCATCAGGATGATCCAATGTGTACGCCCTGATTGATCTCAATGACACACTTATGGGCCCAATTTACTGTGCAGCTTAAACAGAGCTAGCGGATACAGCTAATATCGCCACAGTCCGATGGATGGCTCCCGGAGGCATGGAATGAGCTTACCGGCGGCTGCGTTCCCTACCAACAGTGGTCCGATTCGGTTCACTGAAGTTCTGCGCTTGGCCGATTCGCGCATTCTCAACAGTTCCCCCTGCAAGGGCTAAGAGCTATTCTCTGTGCCCTACCATAAGAAGAGTCACTGCCAGGCAAGAAAATTATTTGTGGTTGCGTTTGCATAATCTGCGTCCTTTGCTGAAGCTGTGGCTCGGTGATTCATGGGACAGAGGTTCTCCAACCTCAAGATTTCTGCCGAAGAAATCTCATCACTTCTGTGCAAGTTCGTTTGACGTTTTGCTGCGTTTTATATCTCATTGACGGTAGGGGGGTGTTTGTATAGGTGCTAGCACGCGTATTCGCAAGAGAGTGGAAGTGAAATCCTTTTTCCATCGAATTCATCACCTTTTCTGGCTCAGTCTTCATTTACGCATCTTTTTCTGCTACCACAGCTTCAGCAGTCGTCATGAACCCCTTTTAGAGCACACAGGGTTAAATGGCCATCCTATTGCGCTGCTCGGCTGCAAGGGATCTTTTGACTTGAGAAGAGGAAGGGGGGAGGGTGGGAGAATATTCGTTTTGCCGCCGGGATATGAGTGAATGGCCGAGTATGAATGCGTGTAAGGTCTGTTTCTCTCTCCACATCATCATTTAGTTTATGGAACGGACTGGCTGTATCATAGGCAATTTTATTCGTTGTGGATGGTGGGGCGTGTCACGGGGACTGGGTTTGGCGCAGCGGCACGTTCTTCAACGATTGAGCTGCCAAGCAAGATCTGATGATAATGAGCGGCGCTGTGCCAGATCCATAGCATCTGTAGGGATTAGGACTGGTAAAAGGAGACGAGAAGTGGGTGTTTCGCGTCGACTGCTCGGAGCACCACTGAGCGTGTCGTGGCTCAAATAGATACTCCGAAACTGGAAATTTTGTAAGACGTGGCCACGTTGTCTTCACTCGACTTGCTGGGGTTTTTTTAGAGATGTTTCCACGTTTAAGCCATTTCAAAAATTCATTGTATTTGTCAAAACAACGAACAAACCAAGATGACAGTTGTCCGGCACCCCCATCTGGAAATATGCTCTCAAATGACCACATCCATTCTCCCTGTTCAGTCAAGTATGCTGGCACTCCCACCACTCGTCTCAGGTTAAGAGGCGCATGTTGTCGAGTTGGGACTTGCGAAAAAAACTGTTGGAAAGTTGGGAGTTGGAAAAGAGTTACAAGGCCTGGAGTGGTGTCCGAGATGATCATGCTGTGTTGCTCGTGGGATGCTAAGGGCCACGAACTTGAGGAAGAATTGAAACGCGACTCCCTTCAGAAAATCCGCCTTCGATACAACCTTTCCCCATAACCCAGCCTGGCTATCATCTTCCTGCATCCACCCAACGTCCGCAAATTTTTCCCAGTTTCTTCCCAAGAATTCTCCAATTTTTTTCAGGAAAAAACTGCCGGGAAACGAAAGAAAGTCATTTTGGTCAAAGGCAGATACAATTTCTCGGGCTGCTCTAGCGATTGAATACAATTCCCCCCCCCTCCCCTCTCGCTAGGATCTGGACGTAATCGACGTGCCAAGGAAATCATCCTTAGGCACGATAGACTCTTCCTTGTGAAGGATGCTTAGATGTGCTGCGCACAGCTTTATCAAGTGGAGAAGAGGGGAGCTTTCTCCTTGTGTGATAACGCTCTCTCACAAATCACAAATTAAAGGAGGTGAAGGTGAGGTTCCGCGATGGGACGGTTCTTCGCTTATCGTCGTAAATCCCGGGACATTGCACTGTCCGACTACCCTTCTCTTCCCCTCCCCCTTCTTGGTCTTTGGTCCGTCATTCGGAAGGACGCCACTTCGTGATTGAAGATGACTTCATTTGGACCTTGAGTCGTTCTTACAGAGTGGGTCCCCAGGATTCTACAAGGGTAAAACTACAATTGCCTGGAGCGTGTCGTGGATACCAAGGGACGGTACAGCTGTTGGATATTAAGCGCAAGAAAATAAGCAGTTAAGAGATGAAACGTTGAGAAGGATCCCCCAGAATTTAATTTAATTTGAGCTAATCTACTGGGTAACTCGTAAGCGAAGTGTTTCAATCCTGGACCTCTGTGACAGGGCAATTTAAAGGAGACTGTTAACGCTGCAGGCCTCGTACAGATGACGCTCAATCAATCACTATGTTTTGTGAGGAGCTTAGTGCAGTTTAGTCAAGTACAACCATTTTCTTTACGCTACGTTTTTTCCTAGCTGACATCTGCGTTCCAATCATATGAACTTTTTATCTATCGTGCGACATTTTAATTGCCATAAAGTTTTGATAACCACTGCTTGTACTCTCCCCTAGAATTTCTGGGTGGCAGGTCATGGACAAATAGTAGGGGCAATTATCACATCGTGTTGAGATCATGTGGCAGTTTGGGAAGCGTGGGCTGTGCAGACAGACCCCTCCAAAGAAACAGAAAATATTAACGCACACCAAGGCTCCATGACTGATTCTATGCAAAAAAATCTCACTATTATTTTAACACGAGGGTGTGGACAGGCAGTCTTGGCCCTGCCGCGTTTGGACGCCAGGGTGATGTCTGCCATCAAGAAATGTTTTTCGATACGACCTCCACCATAACGAAATCTTGACGTGGAGGGGCTGACGTGGAGGGGTGTGGGTATATTTTTTCGATCAGCTAGCGATCAGGAACATGGCACATCATTAATTGGGCGTTTTGGTCGAGTCCATATTACCCCCTCCCCTTTCCGGTTCTCCCTCCTCATCGAGCTGTCGAGCGGAGGGGGGAATAGCACATTGAAGCGGGAAAACCACGAGGGAAATACGACCCCGCTCCCAATGACGAGCGAATACGACCTCCTCCCCCTTTACAACGTCCCTGAGACAAGAAAATTCAACTATCAGAAAAAAATTTCTCAGACCAAGTACGACCTTCCCTTCTCCCAGCGACCAAGTACGACCCACTCTGTTGGGGAATCCCACAACAATCCCGGGACTGATCAGCTAGAGGTATCGTATCGCCAGCGTCTAAGGATTACGTAGCGCGCCGTGCAACGAGAAAAATTCAACCATTAGAAAAATTTCTCGTCAGACCAAATATGATTCCCTACAGAGGATTTCCCGACGCACGTTCGGCTCTACCGCTCTCGCCCCTCCGCAACTTCATTTTTTCAAGAATTGTATTGATTGTATGAACTGGGAATTTGTCGAGAATTAACACATAAATACGGATCAATGAGAGGATAGAAGTTCAAAAGTTAGCTGAAATCTGGTAAAACAGTATGATAAGTGATGTTTGGTTACTTGACGGATTATAATGCAAAGTGCTGTGATAAAGATGTTTACAAGTGATTGAGTGAGTGAGTGATTGTAA